ATTAATATTAAAAATTACAATGGTATTACAAAACAAAATTGAACATAAAACTATTATATTTACCTTAGCTACTGAAAACTAAGAGAAAAGAGTTAGAAGGAGAAACATGAGAAGCTGATAAAAATTTCTGCAAATATTCTACAAAGATAAATAGCCTCAGTTGTTCTTATACTGAATGCATAATGCATGTCTCTCCCATGGCCATCAGGGATTCTCTTCAAAGGCCTGATTAGTATATGATGGGGATAGGAGATGGCAAAACTGAGAATTAACTGACAAGCAGCACAGAAGGGAAATGAGACAGGTATTCAAAGCAAGGCTGTGCATGCCGTAGAAAGAGACTACATGGAGCGGAAAGAGCTGAGATACAAATGGGTGTGAGAGAAATCACAGAGCATGACTCAATGCAGAAGAAAAGAAGTAATAGACAGCAATGCTGGAGGCAACAGTGGCCCATAAGAGTTATAAAGACTGAATGTGGATATGGCAGCAAAGTCACCAAAACAAAAGAGGCCTTGGCATAGGTAAGGGAGATTTATTTTACCTATACAATGTCCTTACTTGAATATCCTAGTGCATCCTCATTTGGGTTATTTCTACTTGAAAAAAATTTCCAGCAGCTAGATTTCTAATTCTGAATCTAAATGATCACTAAGGCCCTGTCTGGTATCTTCTTAGACATGTGGCCTCAGTCAGGAACTCTTATTCATTCATTACTTGTTTCATTTCCCTCTGCCCAAATAAATTGTTATTCCCACTCTGATCTTACCTGAGAAACTATACCCAGATAATGTATATTTGGATTTCTGAATTTGTGGAACCTTTGAGGCCATGTTATATATTTGGTCTTCCCATCTTGCCCTTTTACAAGTTGAAGTGTGACTCCCTCTAATTAAAAATGTAGCGATTATTCAACCAACCAAACACTGACACTGAACCACATTAGGTATTATTATGGTTTGAATTTGAAATGTCTTCCAAAAGCTCATATGTTAAAGGCTTGGTCCCCAGTGAAGTAATGTTCAGAGGTGGGGCTTTCAGAAAATGATTGGATAATGAGGGCTCTGATCCAGATCTTATCTTTTATCAGTGGATTCATCCATTTGGTAAATTAATTTGAATGGACTAGTGGGAAGTAGCAAAAACCATAGACAAGTGGGACATGGTTAGAAGAAGCAGGTCACAGGGGCATGCCCTTGAGGTCTATAGCTTGTCCCTGGCCCCTTCTTTTGTCTGCCTGTCTGCCTGTCTATCTGTCTCTCTTTCTCCCTCTCTCTCTCTTTTTCCTGGCTGCCATAAGATAATAGCTTTTCTCCACCATGCACTTCCACCATGATGTTCTGCCTTATCAAGGGCTCAAAGCAATGGAGCCAGTCAACCCTGGACTGAAACTTCTGAAACTGAACCCCAAAAATCTTTCCCCTTTAAGTTGCATTTATCCAGATATTTGTCTTAGCAGCAAATGACACAGGTACTATTTTAGAATCAGAAGTAAAAACAACAGTCTAGCTGAGTTCCTAGAAATCCTTGGTGCATTTTATTAGAACACGTGAAATAAATACCATAAAGGGCAAAGAGCAGACAGCTCTGACCTCCAAGGTGCTCTGGCCATTTTAAAATAAAATGCTTAACTGTAGTTGACAGATATTAAATTTCATTAACCAAAGGGCAATGTCAATTCTGAATCTAATTAAGAGCCGAGAGTTATCATGAATACTATTATTAAATCTTCATTAACCAAAGAGCCATGTCAATTCTGAATCTAATTAAGAGCAGAGAGTTATCGTGAGTATTATTAACATTGTATTCTAGTGATAACAGATCACAAGGCAAAGGGAAGGAAGCTGAGGGAATTATTAACCTTCACACCCGAATCTCAGATAACCAAGGCCAACTCCACCTCTTAAAAGAAACTCTTCAAAGGAAAGGTGAAAGTAGTCTTCATTGATCACTACCTATACATGAAGTCTTTGACACACACATGGACATATGTTTGCATAAGTACAGCAGAAGATCACAACATAACAAAACAATGCTTCAGAAGAACTAACTGGAAAAAAATACATTGCAATGCAGTTAAAGTTTCCTGTCCCTTTAAAATCATGCAGGGAACAAGGATATTTCAAATGAAACTCCAAATCCAACCTGAATAGAAGTCTATACTTCAAAACTTGATTTGGAACCAAGGAAAAACATCTAGTATTTAAAATATTGCTATAGTTTGGATGTTGCAAGTCCCCCAAAGGCCCATGAGCTTAAAGTCTTGGTCCCCAGGGTGGCCCTATTGGGAGGCAGGGCCTTATTGAAGGTGTTAGATCATGGGGGTGGGGGTGCCTTCTGCAGGGATTGTGAAACTCAGGTCTCATTCTTTCTCTGCTTCCTGGCTCATGATGAAAGTGGTTTGCTCTATCATGTGCTTCATGCCAACACCATCAGTTCCCTCACCAGAGACCCACAGCAATGGCATCTTGATCTTGGACTGGAACCTCCAGAACTGTAAACTGAATAAACTTTTTTTTTTCTGTGTATCTCAATTACCTCAGTATTCATTACAGTGACAGAAAGCTGACTGACACACATATCTACTGAGGCATATAGAAACTAATACTTGTTTTTTCCTCTTTCTGCTTTCCTCAATCTGGCTCAGTGCCTAGGCAGAAGCATTTCCAGGACCCAGGGCCAAAAGCCTCTAGAATAGAGCTTGCTTGTCTTTTCCTAGGATCAAACACCACATAGGGAGAAGCAAGAGTAGGACAAGATATTCCCTTCTTTATATATTCTTACATACCCTCATCCTTTCAGTTTACTGAGAAAATTTCAGAAAAGTGCAAAAGTCATTACCATTGATTGATTATCTATTTGCAAAGCAACTCTCATGCTTATTCTGCTAGATTAAAGCAGAGCAGCAGTAGAGTGGGTACTCTTAATCCCAACGCCAGGATGCATCAGTCCAACCTATTTCTTCAGCTTTATGAAAAGTGTGCTAATGCTTAATCTGAAAAAAGAAAGAGAGAAAAAGAGAAATTCTCTAACTGTAGTTTTTCTCTAGAAGATGTGTCACAGTGCTCTTTGATAATAGCTGTCAAATTCCTTTGGAGGAAAGATTTGGAGGTAGGAGGGTACTGAAGTTAGGTAGGGAAAGAAGAATGTAGAAGAGGCTTCACATTCAGCTTTAAAAAGTTTCAAGAATAAGACAATGAGCTTGGTGATTACTTATATTTTAATGTCTCTCGGGATTCCAGCAAAAGATCTGGAGTAAGAATTAAATATAGGTTACAGAAAAAGGCCCCACCTAGTGGGATACAAAAAATATTCCTAGTAGTCCTATTTGAGGAAATAAGTACCAGGACACTTCCATCTCAACCATGCAAAGGTTCATCATAAAAACATATGGGATGCTGTTTGACCAGCTGAGTGCAGGTGTCAAAGACTAAAACCTTTGTTCCAAAGGTGGACCTTTGTGGATACCCATTGTGGATTCTCAATGGGTACAGAGTAGGTAAATGAGCAGGGAAGATATAAAGATTAAGCAATTGGGAAAACTTTCAAGACTTACAGACATGTAGAAATGGTTTTACATTTGACTTGCATAAAATTCAATGGATAATTATTGACTGCCTCATAGTATGCTAAAACCACCTGAAGGTAGTAATACTAAATAATTTAAATGATCATGTTGTAAAAGCTAAAGGTCTTCATTAAAAATAAAAACAAAACAAAAAAAATCCACTAGACTCAAATGAAACAAGTTCTCTTCAATACCATATGTTATAACAATGACATCTGATACAAAAATATATCTTGAGATGCAAACATCATGTGGTTTGGGACACTTATTCTTTGAAACTTAGGCTTATTTTTAAGTACTAAGGATATGACAACATCTCTTAAGTCTAGGAATTTTGGCTCAAAGTACTGTAATGTCACCATGATACCTAAAATATCATTGGAAATGACTACAAAAAGGAGACTTCAAACACCAGAAAAGACGTCTTACAACAAATTATGTTCAATCATCATGTGTGACAATACATTTTAGTACTCTATACACAGAACCGTGGTTTCCACTTAATAAAAGAAAAACGATTATATCTTCTTTTGGTTTTGATCTTATTTATCACACACATTGCTCCATTTGATCCTCACAAAAATCTATGCAATGTCCAAGAGATTCCACGACCTCATTTTAACACAGAAAAAAAAAAAAAAAAAAAAAGTGAGGTAGGGAAGAATTATGGAAGGCCCCAGGAACTAATAATGGCCATGAAACCCAGGCCTTCTGATCCAAGATTAGCTCTGGCCACCAAAGATTTAGAATGAAAAACAACCACACACTTCAAGAAAATTAACTGTGGATCCTGCAACTGTCATGACAAAATAGCGAAGGGACCATAGGTAGTTATACATTAGCAACCCAGATTGCGTAGCCTGAGGTTAGAGTGGGCAAAGAATCACAGTCACTTAATGTTAACATTGATGGAATTTCTGAGCAGCTGCAAGAAATACCTAAACAGCTGAACGAAAAGTGTTTTCTAAAGTTCCTGATAAAACTCAGAAAAGAGGTCTGTTGAATCTTTTCAACTGGAATCAGTTACTCTAAATCATCACTACAGTACTGCATCCCGAGCCAGAGCCACCAAAAGAGGTTTAACATTTCTGCACCTTCCTAAGACAACTTTCAGGTTGCTCATTTTTCCTCCTCGAAAAACCCTGGGCTCTTCTTGGGAAGAAAGTGATATCTCTAAAGAGGACCGGTTTTAACACTCTGGATTCATACTGAGGCCCTCCCGAGCATCCGGAGTGAAACATATCGCTGGCGCCAAAAGAAGGGAAAGCGGTGCTGAGACTTGGCACAGCTGCAAAGGTGGGTGTGCAGGCGAAGCGAAGCGCCCCAGAGGCTGCCTCTCTCCGGGGCCGGGTGCTGACCGCGCTGCGAGAGAAGGAGCTCTGCGCGCCCCACCTCCCGCCCTCCTGGGCGCCAGGCCGGGTCGCCGACCTACCAGCGAGAGCACTTTATAGGTGTTGGGGTCCTTGGCGGTGCGGGCGCGCGCCGTCTTTTCCAGCGGTTCCTCCCCCAGGTCCATAGGGGCCAGCAAGGACGCGGCCGCCCGCGGGTCTCCTGGCGCATCGGTGGCGCGGCCGCGGCTCGAGTCGCGGCCGTTCCCTGCTGGGCCTTCCCGGGGGCCGCGCCCGCCCTCGCCGCCGCCACCGCGGTTCCCGCCCCCAGCGCAGCCGTCGCGCTCCATCGTGGCCCCGGGCGCTCCGGCCCCGCTGTTCCCAGAGCCCTTTAATAGACTCCGCGCCGGCCCCGCCCCAGCCCGCCGCGCCGCGCCGCGCCGCCCCACCGTCAGACCCTTGGCTGCTGTCCCTCCGCCCAGCGCCCGAAGTGAAGGGAAAGCGACTCAACGCCCCGGATTATTTGGCTTCCTGTCTGATTTCGGGCACTCTGCGTGTAGGTTATTTTGAGTCCTTCACGTGGGCGTGTCTTTAACTTCTCCCCAAAGCCTTCCCCTCCCCGCGCCCCGGCCACCGCGAACACTTGCAGGAATCGCCCTGCGTGGCCCCGCAGCGCGGGCTGGACTGGAATTGCAGAGTGTGGTCTGCAGAGGGCATGAGATCATGGGGCCCCAAAATAGAGCAAGGAGGAGGAGGAGAAGGATGCATGGCCCAGGCGCTCCCAGCTTCTCAAAGGCAGGAGAGTGAGTCTCGGGACAGACCTGTGTGTTTCTGGAGAGAAATGCAAATGAACCGGTAGGGTCGGGGGCGGGGTGACTTTCTTGTTCTCCCACGTGGGAAAAAAAACAAGAGTTCTCCCAAAGCCCTTGCTTACCTACCTCCTAGGCTACACTACTCCAAGAGAGGAGATTCAACCTTAAAATAAACGGGTTTACACACACACACACACATATGGGATGTTTAGTTTTCCATGGTTTTATGTGTTTTCTAGAGCTTTGTTGCTGCTTCTGTTTTAATATATTTACTTACTAGTTCCTTTTGGCTTTCTGTATGGAAGGTTTCGAAATGTCAGCGATGTGCTCTCCTGAGAGTGACACTGTTAATTGGTTAGCAATATTAACAATTCTAAAGCAGTCTGAAATACTGAAAGCTTTATGTTTTAACTAGACCATGAACCAGCGGCTGTAATTCTAGATGTGTTTTGTTTCATCTTTGATTCTACCACTTGCACGTTTCCTTGGTTGTCAGCAAAAACCACAGTGTGCAGGGAAGTCTCCTGTCAAAGGAAAAGTGACTCTCAACTGACTTCAGTGACTGAGGAAAGTCCTACAACCCCCAAACAATTAAATTCTTATTCATTTCACTGACGGGAATATATGCAAATGTTTTAAAAAGAGAATGAATGTTTAGCAGATATAAAGTGGATTTTGTCCCCTTTAAAATAGTCAACTTGGGATGCACTTCATTCATTCCTTCAATAATGAACTCTTCAATCTGCCACCTCCAAATATGCATAGCATATTTAAAAATGAATAAAAATATATTTTTTCCCTTAAATGGTTTCAGTTTGGTGAAGAGGAGAAAGTGGGGCCAACATGTACCAAAAAAAAAAAAAAAAAAAAAAAAAAAAATCAAAACCTAAGTCATGTATGCATTATAGAACCACCACACATAGGATATTATGAACAATTAATAGAAAAGGTAATTGACATTGAAAGATGTAAAAGCCATCCCTCAAATCACTTTTGAACTTTTATTTTATTGTTGTTACCTTTGAGTCAGCTTACAAACCACCCAACAGAAACAGGTTTTCACTATTTCGTAGTCACACATTATTTCTTACCACAAACTTGGCTTCAAATCTTGCTTTGACTGTTTCCTGAAGTCAGATTCAAGGATTTGCTTCACTGAGATTGATCAAATGAGTGTCAGAACTTCTAAAAGCAACTCAACAGAGACTTTCCAAAGTGGCTTTGAACCTGACAAAACAAATGGAATAAGTGTGTTGTCTGCAACTCAAAACAACAAATGACTTTAAAGACTTTGGTCCATTGGAAAAGTCAATGCATCTGCAGGGTCACAAATATTTCAAACATCTAGGCACCAGCAGGAAACATAAATGAGTGAGGCAGCCCCCTGCAGATTGGCAAAAGGTGAACTAGATGTCCTTTAGTAATAAAAAGTGCAGCTTTTACTCACGGTAGGATTGTGCACCCCGGGTAAACAATCCGATTTTTCAAAAGAAACAGGAAATTGAGATGTTTTTGTGAATTCTTCAGATTGCAAAATGTTTTCTACAAGATTCAGAAAAAAATTTTCTTTAAACACTTTAAAGGCCAAACAAAATCTAACACATCTGTAGGGTGGACCTAGCAGGCAAGCCACCAGGATGTGGCTTCTGCCTTAAGCTTCTGCCTCAAGCTCCTGCCTTACCTCCACCAGTTGGGACTTTTATTGGTAATTATAAAAACCCAGTTAAAGTTCTAAAAATAGAGGAATAAGACAGGCCTAGTAGGCCACTCATATTGTTTAGCTATAGACTTTGAAATGCCTTTGATAAAGTCTTGCCTCAGTCTTGTTTATTCTAAATGGTCAGAGGGACAGCTTCATATTCCAAAGTACAACAAGGTAGGTCTGGGAACATAAAACAGCAACACAATGAATGTTTCATCTTTAATCCTAAATCACTCTGCATTAGTGACTGAGCACTCTGATCTAGTACAAGAGGAGAGATGATACATTAAGCTTTTATAATATTCCTTGACATAAACATGTAAACATTTCTTCTCTGGTATCTGAAACTGTAAATCTGTAGATAAAGCCAAATACCAAACAAGACCAGTTTATCTATGTTTGAACTATGCCTCCTCAAAGTTGAGAAACTCTTAGCTTTCAAAAAATGAAATATGCTGTAATTACTTTAGCAGCTGCTTCAGAGTTTTTGCAGCTTTCTCCACTTCACTGGTATAAGACCAAAGACATCTAGCCAAGTCTTAAAAGAGAAAACCACATAGCTCTTTAAGCTTCATGAGATCCAGAAAAAAGAAAAAGTTTTTCCACAGCATTGATTTATTTTTAAGATTTGGTATGACATTCTAATTTTTCTGACTCTTTTGTAAGCACAATATATGTGCCCTTTTTAGCAAGAAGATTGTATAACTATGTGACCTTGAACAGATTACAAGAAGTCTCTGATCCTTAGTCCTTACTTATACAATGATCTTATAAATAATATTACAAAATTATGCCAATAAAATGTTTTACATTTCCCCAACTTTATATAAAAATTCCAATATATTTTTCCATATTTTAATCACCCAATCACTATGCCAGGAGAGAAAATTTAGACTTTAATTTTATATAAATTATGCATGTTTTACATATAATTTCTAATGAGAGAGCTGCCATTGGACATGCATCTACCAGAGGGGCAGAAAGGCATCCTTGCTTCTCCGAGATGGAGGACACTTGCTTAACAGGAATCAGTCAGATAACAAAATAAGCAAAGTGGACCCAGACATGTAAGATATACTAGAAGTAATAGAAATTGTGGAGAAATCTAAAATACTACTCTGTTTGTTAGCTTTCCATCACTGTGACAAAATACCTGATAAAATCAACTTAAAGGAGGAAAGATTTATTTTTGGTCATCATTTCAGAGATTTTGGTCTGTGATCAGTTGTCTCCTTGCCCTTAGGTCTGTGGTGAGGCAAAACATCATGGCAGGGAATGATGTGGTATAGCAAAGCTGCTCATGTTTTGGCAACCAGAAAGCAGAGCGGTGGACAAGGGGTTCAATATACCCTTCAAGGGCACTCTGTCAGAGAGCTACTTCCTGCAATTATCCCCTGCCTTCTAAAATTTCCACCACCTCCTGATAAGGCCACCAGCAGGTGACTAAGATTTTGGGAGTCATTCTGGATGCAAACTAATACTATTGAAAGGGGACTGCTACCCAAATCTTCACTTTGGGATTGAACACAATCTTGGCCACTGTGCCCTTCCCCATTTTCTCTTATAACTCCATTTCAAACAAAATCTATGGCATGAAAAAATCCTCCATTTATTTATTTACATTACTTTTAGTTTTTCTCATCAGTGTATTATAGTTCTTTCTGTCTGGGTCTTGGTTCTTTTGTCAAGTTTATTTCTAAGTATTTTACAATGGAGTTATTTTATTAATTTCGTATTCAGTTTGTTCATTATCAGACTACAGCAGTATAATTAGTATCCTGTAACTTTGCTAAATTTGCTTATTAGTTCTAAAAGGTTTATTTGGTTTGGTTTGGTTTGGTAGATTCCTTTGAATTTCTTAAAAGCAAACATTGACATCTATAAATTTCTCACTAATATGTACATTATATTTTAGAGGGGTATTCTGTCATCTTTTTCATTGCTGTCACCAAAAGACCTAACAAGAACAATTTTAAAGGAGGAAAAGTTTATTTGGGACTCACAGTTTCGGAGGTCTCAATCCATACATGACCAACTCTATTATTGTTCTGTGACTGTAGCAGAACATTATGGAAGAAGAGTGTGGAAGAGGAAAGTGGCTCAGGACATTGCCACAAGAAAGCAGAGAAAGACAGCACCATTCTTCAGGAACAAAATATATACCTGCAAGACATGCCCCAGGGACCCACTTCCTCTAGCCACACCCTACCTGCCTTCAGTCACCACCCAGTTAATGCAGTCAAGTAGATTAATGTCCTGATTAGGTTAGGACTCCCAATAATTTCAGCTCTAAATTTCTTGCATCATCTCACACATGCACTTCTGAGGGACACCCAACATCTAAACCATAACAAGTGGGGAAATTATTACTTAGAGTATTTTCCATATTTATACTTGGATTTTGTGGACGGAATTTGCCAATCTCTTCATGTTTCTGTAACTGGAAATCCAGCATAGAGTTTTAAATAAATGTTGGAAATTTTGATATTTATTTGAATTTTTAAGTATTAGCTACTGAATTAATATTTTTTTTTTTTAATACCTGGAGGCCAATAAAATTCACCCACAGAACCAATTGATCTTTAGGTTTTCAGTTTGCAAACTCTGAGAGTGTACCAGGTAAGTCTGCAAAGTAATGAACTTTTCCGTTGGTCTTCATTTTAACTCTAGGCTAGGAATTCCCTGACTATGCCAGTGTCTACTCCATTACAGTTAAATCACATTATCTCGATCCTTTTTATCTCTTTAGGGTAACTTAGTAATTAGGGTACTATATAAAGATCCAAATATATGCTAAGTGGAGTTAAGGTTTGAGTCAATTAGGAAGAAATTGGTTCCCAAGTGTCTG